CGGCCTCCGACGGGTAGCTTAGATCTGCATGCAGAGCTCTCCGTCATCTGCCACCGAGCACACGGCCTCCTCCAGCGCCCACTGCTCCTTGAAGGCCGGCACGGCGTGGGTCAGCCGCGCGTGGCGGAACTCCAGCCACACCCTGGCTCCGACCAGAGCGCGGAAGATGCCCAGGCTGCTGGCTGGACGTTGCCCCCTCCAGGGCCACCTTCCTCGCCCTGTATATGGCGAGCTTGGCGTAGCCGAAGAGCACGTTGACCAGCCCCTGAAGATGTTGGGGTCCGTCGCCCTTCGGGTATCCAAAGATGAGGACCGTCGGGGAGAAGTGGAGGCTGAACCTTAGGAGGATGTTTCTCAGGACCTTGAACAGCGAGTCCAGGCTCTTGCACTCCACGTATTGGTGCGCCACCGTCTCCACTTTACCGCAGAACCGGCACTCCGGGGACGTGTCGGTGAAGCGCGCCAGGGGAGACGTTGGTGGTGACGGTGCCGTGGGCGATGCTCCAGCTGAGGTCGCCGATGCGGTTGTACGTCGGTCTGCAGTAGAGTTGCCTCCAGCGAGGCCTCTCCGGAGAGACGCAGGGCAGGGCTTTCCTCCAGGCATGGTCCTTGTGGCTCCTCAGGGTGTCCTGTTGGTGGAACCCGACCATGTAGGAGTAGAGCACCTTCCTCTTTACATTTGCGAAGGCCACCTCCGGTAGGTCTTCTAGCCGGCACAGGTTGTGATCCGCCTTCGTTTGTCGGCATTGGCGATGCAAGTGGCACGACTGAGAGCTCCGGTGGAGGGGGATCGAGAGGGGCCTCGTCATCTCCAACGCCGATGGGGGGCGTTCTCCCCGCTGCCGCTGAGAAGGCCCCCTTGGCTTCGGCCCTGTCTTTGCGGCCATGTCTGCTGGTCCGAGCCACCGGCCCCGTGTTTCAGGCTCCACCAGATCTCCCATCCTGGTGAGCCGCGCGTTGGCGAGGCGCCTCTCCATGCCAGGGGTGGTGGTGGTGGTGGATGGCAGCTTTGTCTGTGGGTTCCTGAGGATCGGTTCGAAGACCAGATCCTCGGCCGATCGCGGTTGGTTCAGCCTCCTGACGGCGAGGGAGCTCCATGTCTGCAGGACGCTTCTGTAGAAGGGTGGCAGCTGTCCCAGTCTCTCTCTCTCTCCACTCTCTCTCTCTCCACTATCTCTCTCCACTCTCTCTCCACTCTCTCTCTCCACTCTCTCTCTCTCCACTCTCTCTCTCTCCACTCTCTCTCTCTCCACTCTCTCTCTCTCCACTCTCTCTCTCCACTCTCTCTCTCTCCACTCTCTCTCTTCCACTCTCTCTCTCCACTCTCTCTCCACTTCTCTCTCTACTCTCTCCACTCTCTTGTCCACTCTCTCTCCACTGTCTCTCTCTCCCCACTCTCTCTCTCCACTCTCTCTCCACTCTCTCCACTCTCTCTCTCCTCCACTCTCTCTCTCCACTCTCTCTCTCTCTCTCTCCACACTCTCTCTCTCCACTCTCTCTCTCTCTCCACTCTCTCTCTCCACTCTCTCTCTCCACTCTCTCTCTCCACTCTCTCCACTCTCTCTCTCTTTTTTTTTGACCTTTGAATCCTTTATTTCCCAGCAGCAAATGCTCTGGTGGTTTCAGTTTTCATACAGCGAGTCTCCAATACACAGATTCCAATACACAAGGTCCATGTGCGTACCGTCACGCGAGCCGTCAACAACAGCCACAGTCAGAAAAAACCGCGTCACCATCAACGCAAGCGTGCATGTCGTTACAAAAGGAAAACATCGTATCGTAATGACACTAAAACAGGAAGCAGAAAACAATCCGTGGCCAGGTGCGACCCACGCACCGCCACCAGACACTGGTGATCCCAGCCATCAACCCAGAGACAGGTCCTCGCGCGTCATCGCGTGCGCAGCAAAAGCAACCGATACAGCCGCTCGCCACCGGCACGGACAAGTGCAAAGAAAACCGCTTCACACCGAGAGAAGTGGTAAAACCCAACCACCCCGGGTCCGGAATCCAACACCCGCGCTGCCCAGGGGGCCCTGCCAGCACGTGAGTGAACACCTGCGCGAAAAAAAACGGCTTCGGGGTCCACGCTCGCCATCGCGCGCGTGACCGACTTGCCATTAGAGCGTAAACCAAACACCCCGATCGCCGCTCGCCTGCGCGCGCATGCCCGGCGTCTCCGAGCAAAAACAACAACAAACCAACAACTACACAGTCCCGGGCCCGCCCGCAGCGCACGACACGGAGATTAACCGCTGTGCCTCGCGAGAGGAGCCGGAAACCTCCCATCGAGCCCAGTAAACCAACTGCAGCACGGGTGGCCGTGCTCAGCGTTCGGTAGGAAAAAAAACGCAGCCACGAGGCGGCATAGAGAGGCAAGTCCGACTAGGCACTGCCTCGACTTTTCAACTGTTCTCGCACGAAACCATTTCACATCTCGCAGAAGGTTTGTCCAAGCTGCGACGCTCCCTCCCGGCCCTGGCGTATCAGCGAGCCGGGTGGTATTTCCGGTGTAACGGGAGGCTTCGCGTCCTGCCGCTCCTGCCCCCGGCAGTCATCGCCCCCGGCGACGATCGGTTCGGCGGCCACCGGGGGGGCCCGGAGAGCGCGCAGCCTCGCCTTTATCCTCATCGACAAATACTTCAGTCTCGCGTAATCCCCATAAGCGCAAGCGCCATCGTCTACGGTGCGGTAGATCTTCCGTGCGGTCGCCAGGAAGGCCACCATGTCGGGGAAGGAAGTCTCGGCGTCCACCCCTCGCCTCCCGCGAGTCGTTCGCACGAAGTCGAGGACGGCTTGCTCGTCGTACTCCTCGCCCTCCCCGTCTCCCCACTTGCCGAACTCGGCGCTATCGTCGTCGGTCAGGTCGGAGTCGTACGACATCGTCGACTCCGATCCCGAGCCCGTCCACGTTCGTTCCTCACCTAGGTCGGAGTCGTAAAACCACCCCTGCTGCACGCCCTCCTGGGGCCCGGCAGCCGCTCCGCCCGTCGACCCGCTCGGGGCTGGGGCCCCCCCCGGCTCGGGGTGGGTCCCAGAATAAGGTCCCGGAATAAACCTTCACAAAACGTGGGGAAAGAGTGATGTTTAATCTCCCCATTGTAACCTCTCTCAGGCCTGGCCTAATTGATGGAAAATCAGGCCTCCATTGTTCCAGGTGTGCAGCGCGGAGCTCCACCTGGATGCGACCTCCTCCGAGCACGCTCAGAGAGAGAGAGAGAGTGGAGAGAGAGAGGAGAGAGAGAGTGGAGAGAGAGAGAGTGGAGAGAGTGGAGAGAGAGTGGAGAGAGAGAGTGGAGAGAGAGAGTGGAGAGAGACTTTTTAGGACTTTATTTCCACTAAAACATTAACAACAGAAACATTACCGAAAAAAAAAAAACTAAACTGAAAATCAATAAAACATCAAACTCTTAACAGCTCTATGTGTACTCTTTGGTTCTATTCGGTAAAGTCACCACGTAGGTAAAAAAGAAAACAACAAAAATCACGACGTTTCGGCCACAACACAAGTAGCCTTCTTCAGGTGAAGGAACAGAACTAAAATACAAATGGCACCGGGATAGAGGCCGTGGAAACGAGTCGGTGCACGGACATCTCCGTGTGCAGCAAAGTTATTCAAAGTGTTTTTTCTATTTGATAAACAATGAAATGTTCTGACATCAGAATGCGACGTGAACAAAATATATTTTTCTCCCGTGCATTTTCATAAAACGAAATGGCGTCGACCATGTCAAAAAAACAGAATTCGTTTTTTTTCTTCAAGGATTCTGTTGTCGGTTTACATTAAAGTGTAATGACAGGGTGACACCTGCTGACATCACAGGGTGACACCTGCTGACATCACAGGGTGCCACCTGCTGACAGGGTGACACCTGCTGACATGACAGGGTGACACCTGCTGACATCACAGGGTGACACCTGCTGACAGGGTGACACCTGCTGACATCACAGGGTGACACCTGCTGACATCACAGGGTTGACACCTGCTGACATCACAAGGTGACACCTGCTGACTTGACAGGGTGACACCTGCTGACATGACAGGGTGACACCTGCTGACATCACAGGGTGACACCTGCTGACATCACAGGGTGACACCTGCTGACATCACAAGGTGACACCTGCTGACTTGACAGGGTGACACCTGCTGACATGACAGGGTGACACCTGCTGACATCACAGGGTGACACCTGCTGACATCACAGGGTGACACCTGCTGACATCACAAGGTGACACCTGCTGACTTGACAGGGTGACACCTGCTGGCCTGGCAAGGGCTTAACGTGGAGAGTCATTTGGTGAGACGGCTGGGAGGCGGTGTCGCGGCGGGGGCTGGGCGCATTCTGAGAGGATTCGCATCGCTGAGGATGTTGTGGGCGAGCTGACACGCCACCTCCCGCGCTCCCTCCTCGCTGGAGCTCAGAAATGCGGGGAAGATCCCGGCGCCTTCTCCCATCCCGGGATCGACATCTTATAGAGGAGGCCCGTGGGCATCCCGGGCCCCGAGTGAGCGTGCAGCTCGAAGGTCGGGTAGCTGACGCCGGTGGTCCGGCACAGCATCCACAGCCGCGCCTGCCACGACAGCATGGCCGCCTCTGGCAGCGCCTCGAGAGCCACGGGCATGGGCCGCAGGTGGAGAGGTACCCACCACAGCCACGTGCTTGCCCCCCAGCACCCAAACAGGCTGTGCGCGGCCTTGCCGGTGGCCGTGCACTCCGGCTGCAGCAGGTCTGGCACCGCCGGCTCCGTCTCCTCCTCGTCTTCCGTTGTCGCCGCTGCCGCCGCGGCCACGGCCGCCCGTTCCGGGATTGCCCAGTCCACCTTGACGGTCCGGCCCCACGGCCGGAAGGCGATTCGAAGGAGCTTCTTCCGGGCCATGGCGGCCGCGCGATGGCTCCCGTACTCGACGAACGCGTAGCCTCGGTTGAGGGTTTTGTCCCAGCAACAGACACTCATCTTGACGTCCACCACGCCCTCTGTGGCACCGCTCATCGCCATCATCACCTCCGCTCGCTTCTTGTCCTTGGCAGCCCCCCAATGAAGAGGCGGCGATTGTCCACGCTGAAGCAGACTGCAATGCGGCGTCCGGGACGGATCTCTACCTTGTCGAGTTTCTTGACGGCATCCGTGGCTTGGGCGAGCGTCGCGTAGGTAGCGAACGCGTAGCCGCGGTTCTCTCCGCTATAATCCATCATGAGGTGGAGCTGGTAGAGCTTCCCCACCGTCTCCAGCACGGGCACCAGCTCGTCCTCGTAGAGGTCGCGCGGGACCCTCCCCAGAAATACCTCGCAGCCACGGGCGGGAGGGGGCCCCCGCCAGTCGGGCGGCGGTCCGAACCTCCTCTGTCCGTTCTCCCGGACGATGTTGTACCCCGTGCGCAACATGAGGTCCAGCAGGACCTTCTTCATGCAGGCCATGCCGAGCACCGGTGGTTTGGCTGCTACTGTGGTGCCGGGGCGGCGCCTTGGGGCCCGGTGGAGCCCTTGACGCTCCGCGCGGTTGCCTCGTGCCGACAAAGTCACGGGGGGAATCAACTCCTGAAGAGCCAAATCACCGGCAGGAACTCGCTCGGGCCCAAACCTACAGGGGATAGGAAGAGAGAGGGAGGGAGAGTGGAGACAGAGATGGATGGAGAGAGAGAGAGACGCGTTTAAGCAGAGCTACCTATATAAACTCATAATAAAGGTTTTTGGGTTAGATCGCGTTATTTATGATTGTGTCGTAACCCTCCACCACCCGACATGGCCAATCAGCAAAAAAAAGTGTCACGTTGACAAAAGACAAATAATTCACATTAAAACCATCTTTTTGGTTTAGATATGTGGATGACACTTTGATTGTCTGGCCACATGCTAAAGATACACTTAATGATTTTCTAAATCATCTCAATGCACAAAACCCGGCCATGCAGTTCACCATGGAAATGGAGGTGAATAACACACTCCCATTCCTAGATATTTTGCTTGGACATGGCCTAAACGGTAAAATAACACACAGCGTTTACAGAAAGCAAACGCACACTGATGCCTATCTGAATGCAGATTCACATCATCATCCAGCTCAGAAATCCTCTCTTATCAAGACGCTCATACATCGGCCTAAAACAGTGTCAGATGGTGAAAGTCTAGTGAGAGAGATCAAACACGTTAAAGACGCACTACGACAGAATGGCTACAATAATGCTCAAATCAACAGAGCACTGAATGCCAAATCACGATCGCAAAGCAATACTGCTGAAAGCGGTCAGATTGTTAAAACAATAAAAATTACATATATCTCAGGAGTAACTGACAAATTAGCCCGTGTTTTGCAAAAGCAAACATTACAGTAAGATTTGGTACAGTACACAAAATTCAAAAACTAGTATCTTGCACTACAGACGCATTACCTAAATTATCAACAGAAGGTGTATATCGGATTAATTGTTTATGTGGCAGATGCTATATTGGACAGACGGGACGTAACATCAGCGTAAGACTAAAAGAACATCAAAGAAATACTAAATTATCTCAAACACAACTGTCGGCAGTGGCAGAACATGCTTGTCAACAAGGACACTCAATTGATTTTGATAACGTTGAAGTGTTGTGTAAAACTAATTATTACTGGCAAAGACTAATTAGAGAATCCATTGAAATTGAGAGGAATAAAAATAACTTTAATCGCTCTGACAGCTACAGGCTTAGTGCGGCCTGGAAGCGTATTATTAAATAATACACATTACAATTCCTTATAGGGGAAATACATACTAATTAACGGATTACTAACATAGCATATAATCACTAACACACATTACATCTAATTACTAATCTACAACTCATTACTAATCATAACCATTGACCGATTGCCAATCGATTTTATAATTACAATACCCGCCCCCCCCTCTCCGCCTCTAATCACTGCACCTGATATGAGTTAAAATCATGACGTCACCCTGCTGCTGCTCCTATATAAAACCGGGAGCAAGTGGAGAGGGCTTTACCATTCTGGCGAATTGCCTCTTGATGATGATGCTGGATGTATTTACGAGCGAAACGTCACAGTACTACTCAAACTGTAAATGTTGTGGATTCACTCTTCAACACACCCGTGAGCTAAAGTAGTGAACTATTTGTCTTTTGTCAACGTGACACTTTTTTGCTGATTGGCCGTGTCGGGTGGTGGAGGGTTACGACACATTTATAAATAACGCGATCTAACCCAAAAACCTTTATTATGAATAATATTGGTCGCGAAAGCCTACGTGTTAAACTATATAAACTCGAAAAATCACAATGAACTTAAAGAGAAACCCAAGAAACTGTGTCCTCACTTTTGTACCGCCCTGTATAATAATCATTACCCCTCACCCCCTGTACATCCCCCCCACCCTCCGCAGCACCCCTCCTCACTCATCCACTCACTCACCGAGTCGCTCACACATTCACCCACCCATTTACTCACCCACTCACTCAGCCACTCACCCAATCACTCACCTGCTGGCTCACTCACTCACTCACTTGCTCACTTACTCGCCCACTCACTCAGCCACTCACCCACCCACACACTCACCCAACCAATCATACACTCACTCGTCCAGTCGCTCACATACTCATCTACACACTCACGCACCCACACACTCGCCCAGTCGCTCCCTCACTCACACACTCAACCCATTCGCTCACACACCCACCCACTCACTCACCCAGTCGCACACACACTCACTCACACACTCACTCACACACCCACTCACTCACCCAGTTGCTCACTCATTCACAGTCACCCACCCACTCATCCACCCACACACTCACCTAGTCGCTCACCTAGTCGCTCACACACTCACCTCACACACTCACTCACCCACTCACCCACACACTCACTCACCCAGTCGCTCACACACTCACCACCCACTCACCCACCTACTCACCCACCCACTCACCCACTCACCCAGTCGCCCACACATTCACCTCACCCACTCACTCACCCAGTTGCTCACCCAGTTGCTCACTCACTCACACAGTCACCCACCCACTCATCCACCTACACACTCACCTAGTCGCTCACCCAGTCGCTCACACACTCACCTCACACACTCACTCACTCACCCACTCACCTGCACACTCACTCACCCAGTCGCTCACACACTCACCACCCACTCACCCACCCACTCACCCAGTCGCCCACACACTCACCTCACACACTCACTAACTCACCCACTCACTCACTCACCCACCCACACACTCACTCACCCAGTCGCTCACACACTCACCACCCACTCACCCACCCACTCACCCAGTTGCCCACATGCTCACCCACTCACTCACCCACTCTCTCAGCCACTCACCCACTCACTCACCCGCTCGCTCACTCAGCCACTCACCCACTCACTCACCTGCTCGCTCACCCAGCCACTCACCCAGCCACTCACAACAATCGCCACTAATTGGCGGTGACGTCACCACGACGCTTGTGCCAGGGTCACGTGGTTAGCGGTAATCAATTAAAGGTGGAGGGGTTAATTAATTGAAGGTGGAGAGGGGCTTAATTAATTAATTACTATAATCTTAGTTTTTTCGGTAAAGTCACGTTGAAGAGAAACAACAAATAATATAATATATATAAAACAATAAAAATTCTCACGACGTTTCGACCATACTCAAACGGTCATCTTCAGGTGTGTTGGTTTGCATACATTTATTTTTAAACGGCGCATTTATTTATTTATTATAAAAAAAACCGTTGGCGTCACGCACAGCGATTTGGCAGTTTGCCCAGGACTAGTCCATCTACATTTTGAAAAGAGGAGGGGGGAGACGAAATTTTTTTAATGTATGCTGTCTGAAAGCCACTGTAAGCGTGAACAATCAATTAAGAACTGAAATGGTTTATCAAATCTTTCCAATGATTGCTAAGATAGAATCCATCTTCTCGGTCATGACCGTTTGACCATAACTCAAACGGTCATGACCGTTTGAGTTATGGTCGAAACGTCGTGAGAATTTTTATTGTTTTATATATATTTTGTTATTTTGTTGTTTCTCTTCAACGTGACTTTACCGAAAAAACTAAGAATATAATTTATTCAGTTGGAGAGCAGCTCTTGGGAGGGAAGTGACGTCATACTACTTCCTGCTGTCGCGAGGTAACAGGAAGCTGCCGTGTGCGCGCTTGCACTGAAATCCGAGGTGAGAAATTCTCATGGTTCTGGTGGTGGTTGTGGTGGTGGTTGTTGTTGTTTACCAAGGTAGAGCCTCTCTCTCGTAGGGATGTCAGTTGAGTAGCAGCGAGCATGGGAATTGATGTCCAGGTTGGAACTTTACAACGCGGGGCCTAGCCACGCGGGGCCTTGCCTCCTGCCCTCGCCTGATTGCATTCACTTTAATTATCTCGCTTAAGTTTAATTTGTCTTCACCCCGGCTCGCCACTTTGTAACTTTTTTTATTGTCAATATTCACGCAGTTTTTATTTTCGTTCTTTTGTTAGCAGGCCAAGCCCGCTTGAGCTGCTATACCGCTCTTGTTATCAGAAGCGACCTGCCCACAACACAAGGTGAGGCTTTGTCAACGTGTGTGAATGTTTTGACTTAAAACTTTGGTGACTGCAGGAATTAATATTCTTGGTTCTTTCGGTAAAGTCACGTAGATAGAAAATAACAATAAAATAACAGATAATAATTTTTCTTTTTTTACAATGAAGCAAAACACCCCACAACGTTTCTATGGCAACATTAATGTTGAAGATGCGAGGGCTTACAGGAATATTTATGACATTTGCCCTCTCATTGCGTGCCATGACAGTGCTGTTTGCACAGTCACACATAGTCACTGTAAGATGTTTCTCTTGGTCGTGTTTTTGTTTTTTTTGCTTGTTATGGTTGCACCCGATTCAAGAGCCGAATGGCTCACGGGACTATAACCAAAATAAATCAACTGAAAATCAAAAAACTGAAACCACGTGATGAATTTTGGGAAAGTTTTTCACTGCATCTCCAAATATATATAAAAGGCAAAGTTGTGATTGTGTGTGTTGTCTGTTCAAAATGTTTAGCGTACTTCCCAACATGCAACAAACTGGAAATTTGCCATGTGGGTACTTTCCAGACTGTACACCGTGCAAACTTTATACAAATACACTTTTGTGTTTTATTGGGGGGGGGGGGGAGGGGAGCTCAATAATGTATAGATTTTTTGCACGGCTAGTGAGCTGTGACGTCAAATCTGTCACGTGACCCTCGCATGTGGAAGCGTCACGCATTGTAGTGTAGCGGTTAGCATTGTCTGTGTGTCTGTGTGTGTGTCTGTGTGTGTGTGTCTGTGTGTGTGTGTCTGTGTTTGTGTCTGTGTGTGTGTATCTGTGTGTGTCTGTGTGTGTGTCTGTGTGTGTGGAAGCGTAACGCATTGTAGTGTAGCGGTTAGCGCTACGCTACGCTACAAACCCG